TGATGAGCAGAACATTTATGAATTTGTTTCAAGACAAAACACCAAAAGACAAAATTGAGGCCCCAACTCACCGATCTGAGGCGTGTGGCCATGGCTTGGGTGAGGCACTGTCCACCAGAATCCTTGAAAAAAGGGAGAATATCCTGTTATTCCTAATAAAAATAGCACAATGTCAAATAAAACAGCACATTTCTAGTTACAGAAATCAAGCTTTGAAGCCATTATGCTGAAGAAGGATGAAGAGAGGGAATTAATGCTCCCCGTTCTTCCAAATTAAATCAGCAACTACAGGTGCTGGCCTGGCTCTTTGGCACTGATTTTTCGGAAATCCCTTTGAAATTCCAAGGAAAGAGCCGAGGCGAGGCGGGATCGGTGCCCGTCCACCTGCAGCCCCGAGCTGGTTTAAAGCAGGGGCACAGGTGATCCCTCTCCAGCTCTTCCCTCTTCCACCCCTGTCCCTCAGCACCTCATCCCTCTCCAAAATGCCCTTTACGACCTGCTGCACCTCCAGTTCCCCCCAGCTCCTTCAGCCCCGTCCCTGAGCCCCCCATCCTCCCCCCCTCGGCCTTCAGGGCCTCACCCACAGCCCCCGGGACCTCCTGCCCGCGGCCCCAGCACCGCCTGCCCTGCTCCCAGCCCTTCCCACAGCCCAGGGCCCTTCAGCGTTCCCGCAGGACCCTCCTCACGGACCCCGGCCCTGTCCCGCCGTTCCCAGCTCCTTTCCCGGCCGCTCCCAGCTCCTTTCCCGGCCGTTCCCGGCTCCTTTCCCGGCCGCTCCCGGCTCCTTTCCCAGCTCCCGGACCCTCCGGCCCCTCTCGCTGCCGCCGCCCTCAGGGAGCCCGGCCCCGCCCCCTGCCCGCGCTCCGCCAATCAGCGCCGCGCCTCCGGCCAGACCACGCCCCACTCCCCCTGTTCCCGCCTCTTTCCCTGGGGCGAGCATCGCGCCAGCCCGCTCCCGCTCGCTGATTGGTCTAACCCCTCTTCACTCCGGCCAATCGCGTTGAAGGAAGGAGGGGATTCTCCCACGCGCTCATTCACCTTTGGCTCCGCCATCACGGCAGCCAATAGGAGCGCGCGTTGCCATAGCAGCGGCGTGGGGGCGACAGCCAATGGGAGAGCGCGATATTGGGGCTGCCGGGCGAGAAGCCGGCGGGATGGTGAGGGCGGGGAGCGGCCGTGAGGGGCTCAGGGGCGGGCAGGGGGCGGCGAAGGCGCTCTGAGGCCCCTGAGCGGGTCTGGGGGCACTCACAAGCTGGGAGGGGGCTCCAGAGCTATGAGGGGACTCAGGGGCCGTCTGGGGCTCAGGGGCAGTGCTGGGGGCACCGAGGGGCCCGGGGGCAGGGCAGGGCAGGGCAGAGCCCCGCTCCCCCGCCCCGCGGTGCCGTGCCGAGCCCCGCGCCTTTCAGCAGCCGCCGCCGGGAGCCGCGGCGCAGCGGCAGAGGGCGAACGTGAGGCTGGAGCTGCCCGAGGAGCAGCGGCGGGAGATCCGCGAGGCCTTCGAGCTCTTCCACACCGACGGCAGCGGCAGCATCGACGTCAAGGAGCTGAAGGTCGGGGTTTCCCCGGGGCTGGGAGTCACTGAGGTTGTAAGGGAACAGGGCCATGAATGCTCACATAACCTCCAAAAACACAGGAGTTTCCTGGGTTTCCCCTTCCTCCCTCCAGCAGAACAGCTGGTGGGCAAAAGGCATGGTTTTCTCTTTAATTGCAGTTCTTTTCTGCTCTTATCCAGTGTGTTTAGGGCCAGGCTGCCCAGAATTAATGCAAAATTCTGTGCTTTGTGTCCCAGCTCCTCCTCTGTGCATAAAACATCAAAAAAAAGGGGTTGTGTCCATTGAAAAGGTGGGGGTGAGCAGGTTTCCCCTCTTGTTGAGGATTTAATTCTTTGTTATTATTCTTGCTGTTGTTGTTCTTATTATCTGGCCCTTTATCAAAGGAGGAAAATGTTTTCCCAACAAGACTTTTATCACCAGAATGTAAAATAAATTTATTTAAATTCCCTGTGGTTGACCAGTTAAAGATGGTGAGAGTGTGTGTAGGAAATTCCTGGATTAGCTGAGGGACAATTCCAGAACAGGAATGTTTCTGTCCCTGTTTTCTGCATCCTGGTGGGAGTGCAGAGCAGCCTCAGTCTCAGCCTGCCCCTCTTTTCTGGGAGACACGGAATTTTGGACACTTTTCCCCCTCTCCTGAGGTTTTGGTGACAATTTTGTAGGATTTGTAACTTCTTTTGTCCTTCCAGGTGGCCATGAGGGCCCTGGGGTTTGAGCCTAAGAAAGAAGAGATCAAGAAAATTATCTCAGACATCGATAAGGAAGGGACAGGAAAAATCAGCTTCAGTGACTTCCTGGCAGTGATGTCACAGAGAATGGTATGGATGTGTCACAGCTCCAGACACAGGGAATTTTGAAGGTGGATGAGGAGCCTTTGTCTCCTTTTGGTTTTCCAGGGAGATTAAAGCTCTATATATTTGAATCCTAACAATTAAATGTATAAAAGCTGGGGTAATCCCCCTCCTGGATTCTCTCATTTTTCAGGGGAAAATTAAAATTGTGATATCATTAACAGATTTCTTTAACAAGCAGAGGTGAATTTTGTGTTTGAAAAAAGGAAAAAAAGTTTTTCTCACAGATGGAAGGCAGCTCAGGCCTGCAGGAAGCTTTTGGAGGTTTAATGTCTGTCTTGGGGGTGTTCTCTTCCCTTGAATTCTAATTTACAGATTAAATCTCTGGTCTGAAAAATCGTTTCAAAATCCAGATATTTAATGGCAGAAGACCCTGATAATGAAATCCCAAAGATATCTGGCTGGCAAGGACAGAAAAATATCCCTGAAATTCTGGAATTCTGGTTGTGTCTCTGTCTGAATTTTATGTGTAATTCCTGCTGGCTGGGCTCCTTTATTTGTTCCCAAGGGTTTCTCAGCCTATCATATCTTTTATAACTTTATTTTGGGTGTCACCTACAACACAACCACTCCTGTTTTACCTTACACTTGTTCTTTCTTCCTTAAGGCTGAGAAAGATTCCAAAGAGGAGATTCTCAAAGCTTTCAAACTCTTTGATGATGATGAGACTGGAAAAATCTCTTTCCAAAACCTGAAACGTGTGGCCAAAGTGCTGGGGGAGAACCTCACTGATGAAGAGCTGCAGGTTTGGACCTGGTGGTTTTGGGGTCTTTGGAGCTGGGAGGAGAATCCTCTCTGTGCTGGTAGGAAGGGAGGAATTTCTGCAGTCCGTGGATTTTGAGGTCAGGGATGGGTTGAGCCCTCACGGATGCAGGAATGGGATCATCCATTGCAGTTTAGTGCAGTAGCAGTGATGTGGAAGGAATGACTCTGCTCCAAGCACTTTGTTTCCCCCAGGACTTTTCCTATAATGTTTCCTGGTCAGATTTCTCTATAATTACACCCAGCAAAACAGATTTCAGGAAATATTTTATCTGAGCTTGAGCCAACACTGTCCTCTCCAGCACAGCTAAAATCTGGCTAGAATTCTGAATCAATCCAGTGATTCCCAGTGAACCCCAGACCTAAATCCTGACCCCACATCTCTTGCAGGAGATGATTGATGAGGCAGATCGGGATGGGGATGGGGAAGTGAGCGAGCAGGAATTCCTGAGGATCATGAAGAAGACCGGCCTTTACTGAAGCCCAGTGGGATTTATTCCTTGGCACTTGTGCACATTCCTTAGGGAACGGGAGCCTCACTTTTGTGGTGTCTTGGTTTCTTTGGAGGCAGCAGAAAATACAGGTCAGTTCTGTTAGAAGTCTTTTGTGTAGAATATTTTTAAGTTTTAAAGGTGTTTGGGAGCAGTTTGCACCACTCTGTTTACAGGCAGCAACGTGGTTGCTGGTTATGATGTTTACACTGCTTGAAATACACAAATCACATTTTTGGGACCAAATTCAGATCCTTTTCTGACTAAAAAAATGGGTCCAAATGATTCCAGTTAGGTAAAGAGATGACTCAGAACCAGACAGTGTCAATCTATTGCTCAGTGTAAATCTGTTTTGGGTTTATGTCTTGGTTTAGGCCCTACAGTGAACTCTTTTTATGATATATTTATGATATATTTATGATATATTTGCAGGAACCACCTTTTTAGAACCTGTTTTATGGGATTATCCATCCCCCCCTTTTCTAGGGCATTCTTTAAACTCAAAATAAAAGTAAACTCCTGCAATTTACCTTGTGTTCAGTTCATATGGGTAACGAAATCTGTGCAGAAGGAAATTCTCAGTGCTGCTGCTGAGAGCTCTGTGCTTATAAGAATGCTCAGAGGTTGCAGATGGGATTGGATTTCAAATAAAATCTTATTTTTAAGCCATCAGAGTTGTGGAAGGAGTTTTGATCCCCACTTTGCCAAAAAAGATGTGGCCAGGCTGGAGAGGATCCAGAGGCCACAAAGATGATCCAAAGCCTGGGAAGTTCCCATGTGAGGAGAGGCTGAGAGACCTGAGCTTGCTCAGCCTGGGGAGACTGAGATTAGGGGAGATCTTGTTTGGTATTTGAAGGGTGGCTACAAAGGAGAAAGAAACTCCCTTTTTATGAGGAATCATGGAAAGGACAAGGGATAATCTATACAGGACATTCCTGGGCAGATTCTGATTGGGCACTGTAGGACAATTTTTCACCATGAGAAAATCAGCTGTTGGAAGATGTGGATTCCCTGAGTTTCGGCACTTTGGGATCCATCAGGGGCATCTTATTGAGACAGCAATTTTATCAAGAAAGGTTGGACCTTTCAAAGGTGAGGCTTGAGATCCTTCCAACCTGGAATTCCCTGGTTCTGTTAATGCAGGAGAAGAATTTCACCTCTTCCCACCAGTGACATGGGGCTGGTCCTGCTCTCACCAGTGTCACATTCCTGCTCCACTCTGGGTTCTGACAAATCCCAGCAAAACAAGGGGGCTGGTGCTGGGGATTTCTTCCTGTATCATTTTCCCAACTGACCCAGAGCTTGTCCTGCTCCAGAGACAGAAGCAGAGTTCAGAATTCAGTAGAAGCATCAGGTTTTATTTGGTAGCAGAACTGGGTTCCTTCCTTTGGCCACAATTCCCTGCTCTGAGGGAGGGGATGGGGAGCAGCTGACCCTGGGCCCTGTGGGAGCCTGTGGCAGGGATAGGTGGGATATTGGGATGGAATTCCTCTCTGTGAGGGTGGGCAGGCTCTGGCACAGGGTGCCCAGAGAAGCTGTGGCTGCCCCTGGATCCCTGGAAGTGTCCAAGGCCAGCCTGGAGCAGCCTGGGACAGTGGAAGGGGTCCCTGCCCATGGGAGGAGACTGGAACAAGATGAACTTAAGGTCCCTCCCAACCCACCCCATGCCACAATCCCCCAGCAGCTCCCAGCCCAGCTCCTGCCAGGGGCTGACATGTCCTTGGCAGAGCACAACACCTCCAGGGTTGTCCCTGCTCAGCCGCCACCAGAGCTCGGGGGCAGAGCCAGAGTGCCACTTTGCTGTTGCTGTGGGAGGGGAAGGAGTGGATCCACGGAGAGGAGCTGGCCAGGATCCACGGAGAGGAGCTGGGGCTCAGGCCAGCCGGAGCACTTCCCTGACCATGTTGCCGATGCCGTCGTGCACGTGGTGGATGGGCGCGTTGCACATGAAGGCGCTGGTGCTCACCAGCCGGTTCCGCGCGTCCACGTGCGCCTCGCTCACCTGCCTGTTGACGTGCCTGCAGCCCAGCTCCTTCATGGCCTCGGCAGTCTTGGCATAAGGCCACCTGCAAGGAAAACCTGGAGTGGGGAAGCTCCTTCACGCTGTGCTTGGGGAAGGGCCAGAGGGAAGGTTCTGTGGTCACTGCACACAACGTGCTCAGTAGGATCTAAATCTCCTGCTTGAGGAGTTTCTCCAGGACTATTCAACAGGGAAACCTCCTGTTCACATCAGTTAAACATCTGAAGTAAAGCCAAAATGAGACTTGAAGTTTCACTTTGGATGTTCCACTACCTAATTCCGCCCACTCCAGTGTTCATGTTAATAGGAGCCTGGGAGGATTTGGGTGACAGGGGACCTCAAAGCCCATCCAGTGCCACCCCTGCCATGCCCAGGGACACCTTGCACTGTCCCAGGCTGCTCCAAGCCCTGTCCAGCCTGGCCTTGGACACTGCTAGGGATAGAGCAGCCACAGCTTCCCTGGGCAACAATTAGATTTAGGTTTGGGGTGGGTTTTTCCCACCAACTTCCTCCAAGTTAGTGAAAAAACTCCTTCCTAGCAAAAGCCATCAACATTCCTTGCCTGCCCTTGGGAGAATCCAGTCACAGCTTCCCTGTAGGACTGAAGACAGTTTCACTCCCTCCCTCTCTTCCCACCCCAAGCCTTGGGTAACCATCCTATTCCTGTCTTGGATCTGCTTAACTTGGAGTCAGCAAAGGCTTTTCCTACCCTGGGTCTGTGAGGCATCAGGGAGGTAAATAATAAATTTAAAATAATAAATTACATTTACATTAATTTAAAATAAAAGTGTGTTATTCAAAGCCATCAGAGTTGTGAAAACAAGCCACAAAAATGCAAACAGGTGTTACATAATTCCTTCTGCTGTGCTGAGAAATGATAAAATCAGTCTTCCAGAGTTTCTACTTTTCCCTGGAAAGTCCCCAAAAGGGCTGGAGTTGCTGAAGGCCTCACTGGAGGCAGCAGAGCTGAGTTCCCAGAAATAGCATTCACCTCCCTGTGAGCTTCCACCACCTGGCCCGGATCCCTGGGGACTCTGGGGGGACCCTGGTGTGACTGTCCCCAAGCCCCAGTCACTCACTGCTCACACTCCGTGTCGTGTCCCACGGTGACCTCGCAGCCCGGGAAGATTTTGGCTGCCAGCACTGGGGAGATGCAGCAGAGCCCGATGGGTTTGTGGGCAGCGTGGAATGCCCTCAGGACACCCTCCACCTCCTTGGAGATGCTGCAGTTCTTGCCCTGCGTGGCCCAAGTGCTCAGGTTTTTTGCCACTCCGAAGCCACCTGAGGAAAGGGAAACAGTTTAGCTGGAGATTGTATCCAGGGCAGGATTGTTGCCAGGTGTGCCCTGGTGGAATGCTCAGGTGGATTGGATGGTTGGCAGCATTTGTCCAGAATCAAGAAAAGAACTAAAATGCCATCGCACTCCTCCCATACCATTCCAGAGCTATGGAATATCTAAGCTGTGGGCAAGCAGACCCCACCCGTCCTACCTGGGATGATGAGGGCATCCAGCCCATTGACATCCAGCGTAGCCAGGTCCTTGATGTTGCCCCTGGCTATCCTGGCACTTTCCACCAGGACATTGCGCTGCTCCGGCGTTGGCTGCCCCTTCACGTGGTCCACCACGTGCATCTGGGGGATGTTGGGAGCATACACCTCAGCCTGGAGTGAGGGGAGAGGGCTGTTATCCTTCAGGAATGATGGAGAAACGTGGGAGAGGCACAGGCAGTGAGTGGGAATGCTGGGGGGCTTTCTTGGGAAAGAGCTGGCATGGAGGAAGGAGGGAAGGGAGGAAGGAAAATTCCAGTAGTTTGTGCCCAGAACTGCTTATCTGGGGGGTTGAAGAGTCCATCCATATCCCAATAAATCCCTCTTGCTGGGTGAACATCCAGAGAACTGCTATCCCATCCCATCTCCCACCAGGACAGGACTTGGAGTTTCCTCTCCCCATCAACTTTCCCAAAGTCAGAGTGTTTTTCTGGAAAATGTTTTCCCTTCCTTTAGCACTTTCAAGTTCATATACAGAAATTAAGAGTGGAAGGTGGTGAACAGATTTTGGGACTGTCCCATCTGTGCACTTCTGGGGCCCACAATTTAAGAAGGATTTAAGGAACACCAAGGTGTCCCGGGGAGGGCAGGGCTGGAAGGAAAGAATGTCCTGTGAGGAGCAGTCGAGGACTTTGGAATTATCTAGGTGGAAGACAAGGAAGATGGGAGGCAACCTCCTGGCAGCTTCCCGTGGAGAGGAAGGTACTGAGCTCTGCTCCCTTGCAGCTAAATAATCCATTCTACGCTGTTGTGTTTCCTTAGAAAAGGAGGATTGAAATATCGCTCGGGTTTCCTCCACTAGAGGCCCCTGCCGGTCCAGGGATGAGGGAGGGACAGGCTCCGAGCCCGCTGGGCTGGGATATGGCAGGAGGGAAGGACTGCGGCAGCTCCAGGAGAGGAAAAGGCAGAATTGCACACAGTGGAGAAAACGTCTGGCCAAGTCTCATCGTGGAGCCAAACAGCGAGGGCAGGGTTGGGGTGGTTTGGGACTGGGGGGGCTGGCACAGGAGGGTCACCCTTTTGCCTCTGCGTTCCACAGAGCAATTCCCATTCCCAGGGGAACGGCTCCGACCTAGGCACGTGGGTGGTTCACAGCAGAGTGAGATGTTCCTGAAGTTTTCCCTCCCTCCTTCCCCCAGTCTCACGGAGCGGCTCTCCCGACTTTTAGAGCAGCTGCACCTTTTTTACCCCTCAAGTTTCACTCACGAATCCTGTCTGTTCTCTCACCCCTGGCAGTGTCCCAAGCCGGGCTGGACGGGCTTTGGAGCACCCTGGGACACTGGAAGGTGTCTCTGCCCGTGGCAGGGGATGGGAGTGGATGAGCTTCAAAGTCCTTCCCAGCCCAAACCATTCTGGGGTTCTTTGAGTAGATTTTCACTTCTACTCTTCGAATGTTTTAAAAAGATTAATTTCAAACAGCCCAAACTGTCTTTTAAACAGAAAGATCAAGAGAGAAAAGAGGATGTGAAGCCAGAAGCGAAGAGAGAAGGCATTCAGGAAAGTCTGCTGGGGGTTTGGATGCAGAGCCCCACGCCAATCCCTTTGTACAGCACGGCTGAGCAGGAGCTCTCCACACCGCTCCCGGTGACTCCGGGCACCGCTGCCGGCTTTTGGGGAGTTTGTCAGAGCCAAGGAGCGGAGAGGATGAGGAGCAGAGCCGGGAGAAGGAGCCGGGCAGGACCCGGCCCGTGCCTCTTACCTGAGCCCCCTCCCGGCTGAGATGCACCAGCACGGCCGAAGCCTCGTGCACCTCGCTGCCATCGAACACGCCGCAGCCGGCCAGCACCACGGCCACCCGCTTTGCCATGCTCCCCGAGCACCGCGCCGCTGCGGGCTCCGCTCGCTGCCGCCGCCCTTTATAGCGCCAGCCCTCCCCCGGGCAGGAGGGGCCGGAGGGCTGGCCTCGCCTTCTTACTGGCATTATTTCCAGCTCCACAGGCAGGGCATATAAATATTATTTGTTTCCTCAACTGGCTGCTCCCTCAGACATCTTCCTCCCCGCACGTTGTCTGCAGAGCAGCCCCAGCTGACATGCCCTGCTCAACACAGCAGCTGTGTTTTTCCTCCTCAGCTCTTGATTTTCCATTCTAGTTCAGACTGAAGCACCAAAACCTTTGCACAGGAGATGTAACAAAGGGAGCCTGCCCAGAGCCAGGACTTCAACCAGTGCATTCCCCTTTCTGACCCGTTCTTTGAACCCTGCACTGCAAAGGCTGCTTCAGACTTTTAGCACCACACCTCCTTTTTGGATTCTGAATGTTCCTTCCCTCAGATCCCGTCTCTCAAAAGTGGATATTTTACACTTTGCTGCAGTTGTTTGCTGGCTTTTGCATCCTGAGTTTAGAAATGAATGAAGTCATAGAGTTGGAGGTGACCCCACAATGTCCAACTCCCAGCCCTGCACAGGCACCCCAACAATCCCACCCTGTGCCTGAGAGAGTTGTCCAAGCACTTATTCATCTCTGGAATAATGGGATTCTTCATCAACAGCACCATCTCTCCATTTATTTAATTCCAGGGAGGTGGCCCTGGGAATTGCTGGAGCCCTGAGCTCTGGAGGGGTCCCTGGAGCCGGATTCGGTGTCTGGAGCTCGTTCCTCCCACCCTGGCTCTGCTCTTATGGAGATGATCCTGTACATCTCTATTTCAGCCCAGCCCTGGTGAAATAACTGCGCCCTGTGGAGGCTGAGAGAACAAAAAACTCCCACAACATGGCTGCAGGGTGTTTTTCAGGGGTTATTTATAAGACATGTTCCTTGGGGCTCTGTCATTTTTGGGAGAGACGTGAAGCACATCCTGTGGGTGATGAATTCGTGGCTTGGCAGGGTGCTCAGTCAGGGCAGGCCTGAGGAGGAGGCTCACTGCTGATGCTTGGGACATTTATGGCATGTTTCTCCCCAAAGGAGGGATTTCAGGTAGCCAGCTGCTACCTGAACAAGCAGGAACAAGAAATGTGTGGCAGAGGCCTTGCAGTCCCACTAGCCCAGCCCAGACTGTGCCTCACAGTTACTTTTATTGCCCAGAACAGGAATTAAATTGAGATATGCATAAAAAACACCCAAAGCCTTTCCCCTGTTTTCGTTTTGCTATCTAAGGAATCCTAACTATGGTTTAGGGGTGTATTATTTCCTCTTGCATGGAAAAACAGCCGAGTGATGTTGCAAGCTGAACAGGTAGTTTCTCCTTCCTGCAGCTGCTGTGGGAGCAGTCCTGCTAGCCATGGAACAAAGTAGCCAGAGGCTGAGCATTTCCACAGCCTGCCACACCAGTCACCCCTGCCTGTTGTAAAGTGGCTGGGCTGGTTCCCCTCACAGGGGCAATTGGTGCAACTGGACCAGCCAGGCTTGTTTCCTCCCCCTGTAAAAACATCTGTCACAATAGACATGTCAGCCCTAAAGATCTCTCTGCAATGAAGAGATGAATGATAAATGACATTTCTCAGCCGATATTCCAGCCTGGATGGCCTTGGCTGTACACATTTGTCAGGGGCTTTGGTATTAACAAGTGGCTTTAATCTGCATTAAGGCTCTAGTGAGGAGGGGTGGGAAGGGACCCTCTTCCTGCAGGGTGAGCACAGTTAGAGGTACCAGGAAAGTCTGGGAGCAGTGAAGGGGATGCAGCTGGATCCAGCTGCCATCGTGCTGCAGCTGGCTCAGGGGCAGGAGGAGCAGGGTCCTGGTGAGCAGAGGGCCTGATGCTCTGGGGTTCTTCTGGGTGCTGCCACAGCTCCAACACCCCTTGGATGATCCCACAGGCCTGACTGAGCTCAGCCAGTGCAGCTCCCAGCCCCATTCCCAGCAGCTCTCCTGTCTTCCTGCCCTGGCTGTGGAACAAGATTTATGGGGGATCACAGAGCAGGATCTGCTGAGGGGAACATCAGAGCTGGCTGCTGGAGGAGCTCTGCAGAGCCATCCCTGGGCAGCCCAGGAGTGTCAGTGCAAAGCTCTGCATGCTGTTCTGCACCTTTTACCTTGTCAGGAGAGTGGGAATTGCTTTAACTGGAGCTGAGTCCCCCAAGGGAACAGTCCCTACACTGGCCCATCCCCACCAACAACACAACAGAGGAAACAAGCTCTGTCAGCTCTCACAGAATAGTTCTCTGACAATTCCCACCCAAGCCACAACTCAACACGATCCCCAGGCCAGTGCTTTCTGCAGCCTCCCCTCCATCCATAAACACCTTTGTGCCCTGACCACCACTCCCCACGGGGAGCAGCAGGAAGCTGCCCACAGGTCCTTCATGTCCCCTTTGGGACACAGTTCTGGCAGTGTTGGACACTCACTCCTGGCCTGGAAAGCCAGTGAGGCTCCCCTGGGCTGGAGGAGCTGGATGTGGAGTGACAGATGGACAGAAGTCACCTTTAAGGGAATGGCACTGAGTCTGCCCTGGGTTTGCCCAGCTCAGGGGGCTGGTGCCAGGCATTCAGAGCTGAGACAGGGACAAACAGCAGGCCCGTGGCCAGTGTGAGGAGAAACAAGTGGTCCCCAAGGAGCTGCTGGGCTTGCAGAGGGCTTGTTTGCTCCACCAAGGTGGATGCTTGCAAAAACCTTCATTTTAACCAGTGTAATTTCCTCACTGGCAGGAGCAAAAAAAAAAAAAAAAAAAAAAAACAAAACAAAAAAAAACCACAAAAAAAAACCCCAAAAAAAAAAGCAGCAACAGCAATAAACTTTTAGCCTTATTTTTCAAGTGTCTTTTTGAACAAGGGTTAATCAACAGTAAAATTAAGAGGCCCCTGGAGGGAGCTACCAGCAGCCCACGCTGACTCACAGCCCCAAATTTACTGCAGCCAGAGCTTCATTTGCATTTCCTCCCGCATGCAGAGAGGAGCAGGAACAGAAGAGGTTTGTAGGGAAAAGGGGTGGAGAGCAGGGAGGACCGGCGGCAGCGGCGATGGTTTGGTTATAAAGAGCATGGGAGGAAAGAGAGGCAGCAGTGCAGCCCTCGGCCGGGGCTGCGGCGCGCAGGGATGGGAGACAGCGGGGCTGAGTCACTGCATTCCTGCATCGGGCTCCTGGGCATTTCCGCAGGTAGGGACCGCTCCTGGCATCCTGGCACGGGACACGGGCTTGGGACGAGCTTTCCGGGACACCCTCCTTTTCCGAGGGGGCTAAGGAGGCTGTTTATCCACAGGCTTCTCTGCCTGGGGTGAGCTTTCCTATCCGGAGATCCCTGCGCCTGCTTCAGCGGCCAACAAAATATTTGTGTTGGCTTCCAAGGGCTGGCCTGAAGTTTTGTACTCGTTCCACCATGGGTGGGAAGCAAATCCAAACTTTTTCATAGTCACTGTAGTAAATCATCTCGGTTTGGATGCAGTTTCCTCCCCTTTCCTTTTCCAGCCCTTCTCCCTGCAGCTCTGTTTTCTGTGTTCACTCCCTTTCCCTTACTCCTCCTTTGTGTTCCACCTTCCCAGATTTTTTCAGCTGGTTTTCCATCAGTACAAGGCTGGAGTGATCAGCTGCAGGGTGTGTGTGTCGGTCTGCCTTCTGTATAACTGGAATTGTGGATTTTTACCTTTATCTGGCAACAAGGGAGCACTTTCTGACTCTTTCATACATTCCCAGAATGGTTTGGAAGGGACCTTTAAGATGATCCAGTTCCATCCTCTGCCACGCGCAGGGACACCTTCCCCTTGACACAGCTGCTCCAAGCCCCAATATCCAACATGACCTTGATGGGATGGGGCACCACATCCTCTCTTGGCAACCCCAAACGACTAATCCCCAAATTTTTCAAACCAGGCACCCAGAAAGCAGTGAGACCTTGGGCACAAACTGAGTCACACTCCCCCAGCTCCTTAGGCTTTCCTATTTGCAGATCTTGCACTGTTATTTTCCCTCTATTCCCCGCTCTGTCCACCCTGATTCTCCCCTGGTTTTTGGGCCGGGTTTACAGGCTCTGTGTGCTTCCCTCCTCCATGTCCCACAGGATCTCTCCTGCTGGCCGTGCATTTCTACAGCTCTCCCCGAGCGACCCCGCTGATCCCCAGCACGGCTCTTGGGATCCTGCTGCTGGTTGTGTCAGCTCTCCTGGCCTATGCAGGTAAGACCTGGGGCTGCCAGCCCCCGAGCCTCCCTCCCATGGCTTTGCACATCCAGCTCTGCCCTGCCAACAGGACACACACCACGGCAGCCTCGCTGGACCACTCATCCCTTCTCCCAGAGGAGTGTGCTGTCCAGAGCAGCTGGGGCTGCCCCTGGATCCCTGGAAGTGTCCAAGGCCAGGCTGGATGAGGCTTGGAGGGCCCTGGGACAGTGCAAGGTGTCCCTGCCCATGGAGGGGTGGAATGGGATGTGCTTTGAGTTCTCTCTCAACCCAAACCATTCCATGGCTCTGTGTCAGCACAGCAAATTTTCCCACTATAGGCAATTTGTTTTAAACAAATGCTCTACCAGGATCTTGGAGTTTTAACACACTGAATACACATGTCTCTCCCAGGCTTCTGAGAGTGCTTTCAGCAGGCATGGATTGAAATGTCCATGGGTAAATGCCAAGAGACAGTGCCTCTACTTATCTGAGAGAAAAATATCACTGCCTAGGACATAACCCACACCTTCTAGAATGAATGTTGAATTATTTATCCTTTGTAACTCATAGCAACATGAAATCACAGAATCGTCAAATCACAGAATTGTTCAGGTTGGAAAAGAGCTTGAAGATTGTCAAATCCATCAAGCAGCACCAGCACCATGGTCACCACTAAGCCATGTCATCAGGTGCCACATCTGTGTGTCTCTAAACACTTCCAGGGAGGGGGAGTCCACCACTGCCCTGGGCAGCTGTGCCAGGGCTGGACAACTCTTCCCATGAGAAATTTTCC